CGGCGGCCGACCTTCAGGCTCGCCCCCTGCCCCTCATCCTCCACCCGGCTGCCGCCCACCTCTGCCGCCGGCTGCTGCTTACGCCTCTGCGCGGCCGCCCCAAGGCAAGCTTGGGCTTGCAGCTCCCGCGTGCCGCCGCCCCCGCCGCCGCCGATGCCGCCGCCAACCGTATTCTGGGAGGTGGGGGCCTGGCAGGCCGCCGCAAGCTTGAGGGCGGACCTCGGGGAGCGGGGCGGCGGCGCCTTGTGGGAGTGGTCGCTGTGGGCGCGCTTGAGTCCCTCTTGCTGCTTCGCGTGGAGCAGGCAGCTGGGGGGGGAGGCGTGTGTTTGAGGGACAGCAAAAGTAATGGATGAAGGGGCAGGGGAAAAGGATAAGGGGCGAGGGGGGAGGCGGGAGGAGTCTCGGGACAGTGGGCAAGAGGGGCTGTGTCGAGGGACGCGTGCAAGCGCTCCTGCAGAACTGCAAGCCAGGCCCTCCAACATAGGGCGGGCTGTGCAGGGCGTCGCCTGCGCGCTGCAGCGCGAGCCCGCCGAGGCGCCTGCCTGCCTCGAAGAGTGGCATTCAGTCACGCCCATCTCATCAACTCCAGAGGACACCGACACCAAATGTCAACACAACCCAGCCCCCACCTGTATCCGGCGTCCTCCGCAACCAGATACCAAAGGAACGCCCCCGCCGCCTCCCTGGCCGCCGCGCACGCCGGCCCCAGCGGGTGCACCAGCCAGCCAGCAATGACGTCGCACAGGGATCTCATGATCTTGTTATCCTTTGCCTCTTCAGCTTCCTCGGGCTTTGCGCGGCCGGGCGCCTCAGGGTATTGCTGCCCGGGCCGGTCGCGGCGCCGGCCCTCGCGGCGCTGGCTGTGTGGAGGGTGATGGCCGTCTTCGTCGCCGCTGGCGCGCACGTGCAGCACCGTATGCTCCCCCTCGTCTGTCGCCGTGGCCGCGTCCGCTGTGCCCGCGCCTGCGCCGTCCTCGGCGCCGCCGGCGCCGCGCGCGATGCGCAGCAGCGCCGCAAACGCGAGGAACAGGTCCTGCTCGTGCGCCGCCAGCGCGTGGCACGCCGCCCGCGTGCGCGCCTCTGCGTCCGCCCGCATCCGCGCGATCTCCGCCGGGCTCGGCGGCGCGGCGCCGGCCGGCGCGCGGGTGGTGCGAGGAGCGGTTGCAGGGGCGTCTGACGACCCTAGGGAGGCGAGGAGGTCCCTGAGGTCGGCCTCCTGGGCGATTAGCTCCTCGGACTCGTCGATGAGCACCTCCAGGGACGCCTCGCTCACGGACTCGGACTGGGCGCAAAAGGGGGAGCGGAAAGAGGCTGGATTGGTGCGTGGACTAGCACGTGGGCAGAGGCAGGCGTCACAATCTTGGCGAGTGCAAGCAGTCTGCACACGAGGGTTGTGAGCGCGCTTCGCACACATGGTCGCGCACGGGTCTGCACACACAACACTTTGCCTCGATACATACACACCCCAACGAAGCTCTGTACGCGTCGATGGGACGAGGACCCGCAGCTGCATGGGGCACGTGGCGAAGGCGCGGCCACCATGGTGACCGCGCAGGCTCGCATGTCAAGAAACACACAGTTGCAAGAACCTAGACCGCCTGTGCAAAACCGGCACCTCATCTCACCTGGAAGCTTCCGAACCACCCGTCCAGCAGCAGCAGCGCGAGCGCGGGCGGCGCCTGCGAGAGGGCCCGATAGTCCCCGCGGTTGACCTGCGGAACATGTGTGTGTGTGTGTGTGTGTGTGTGTGTGTTCGGGGGGTCCAGGTGAGGTGGGGCGGGCCCATCAGCTGAGCAGGCTTCTGTGCAGCTGCTTGGCACAGCCGCTGCGCGGCCGCCGCTGGGGCTGGTGCATTGAGCGACTCTTGCATGTAATTGTTTCCGACCTCCCCTCTGCAGCATAAAAACAAGCGACAAGCGGCGCCTGAAAGTGCACGGTGCATCACCATCCGATCCGAGTCCGATGACATCCTATTGCCAACAAGCTACAGCCCGGCGGGGCCCCGTCACTGCCCACCTGCAGCTTGAGCTCCCCCAGTGCCTCTGCCTGCTGCCGCCCGTCACCCTGCGCCAGCCCAAAGTTTGCCAGGCACGCCATCCCGCCCCACGCGGGCCGGTTGTCCGGCACGCGCCCCCTGGCCTGCAGGCACGCCAGCAGCGCGCCCGCGTAGCCGGGCGGTCCGCCCGCGCAGCCGCCGCCGCCGACGACGCTGGTGACGGCCAGCGGGGCGTCGCGGCTGCCCGTGGTGCGGCGCCGCGGCGACGCCGCCAGCGAGGCGGGCGGCGGCCCGGCGGCGACGCCGACGGGG